ATCGGGAGCGGTGCACTTGGACACGGTGCATTTGGACACAGCCAATCACAGCACCGTGTGATTAGAGACATTTGTAGGGTCCCTTGGAACAGCGACTTGTGATTGGACTGTGTCCAATTGCCCCGTGTCCAACTGATATACACCCAAGCAATAAGATGTAAGCAGTAAGCAAATTGACCAATCACAATCGTTGATTCTTCTTACGGTCCAAAAATCAACGACTGTAATTGGCTGATTCGCTTACTGCTTACGTCTCACTGCTTAAATTTTTCTTTGTGCCACCAGCTTTAGTATAGACATCTGTGGAGTGGCTAGACTTTTGACTCCTGCACATAGGATACGGTAATGCTTGCCGCGCGGCGGAAGTCGCGCGACAGCCAATCAATATGCTGCTTTCCGTAATAATCCTCTAGCTCTTACGGAAAAACAACATATTGATTGGCTGTAGCTCTTACGGAAAAACAACATATTGATTGGCTGTTCTGCCGTGTGGCAAGCATTAAGGCCATCACACACAAAATTACATAGACGCATATGCATAGCATAAGATAGTATGGACCAATGAGCATCGAATATTAAGTATCAATCATCAATATGGCGACTTAATATTCAATGTTCATTGGTCCATATGATCTTATGCTATGCATATGCTCTATGTAATTTTGTGTGTGATGGCCCTTACTGCGTCCTGGGCTGCGTTCAGATTCCTTACCCGGGTGCACTCTAATACAAGAAGTGCTATAGTATATGTGACATATACTATAGTGTTTCTAGTAACAGAGTGCACCTAGGTAGGGAATCTGAACGCCTGTGTGCAGGAGCCATTTGTGTATAGGGACTCTATAATATAGATATCTGTGACGCCATCTAGGTACCGCCTTACGTATTATTTTCGATGTACGCACCACGAAAAGCGCATCTAGGGCTGCGTTCGAAAACGTCACTCAATTGTACTCATTACGTTAGAGTGAGCGAGATACAAGAGTGAGATGAAAAGAGAGGGAGAACACTCGAGTGATGTTTCCAAACGCAGCGTAGCGACATCGCGCGGTGAATCGCATGGATGCGCGAATTTGAAAATCTTGTAACTGTAACGTAAACAGTTGGATCGTGAGAACATCACAGAGAACCTTGTTATTCGACTGGAATATGAGGTCCGTGAAATTCAGGAATTTAATGCACGTTTAACTACCAAAAAGCCGGATGCTTAATTATTTTATAATAGTGAAGTGTATCATTCGAGCGGATTCACAGGCTATTCTGATCTGCTTTAAACAGTGTGTGCAACTCAGCTATAAACATCGAAAAGTCCTTGAGAACAAAGCATCGGAGAAAAATATCGCTCCAAGATGTGTGACTTGATAGATTTAAATAGCCCCAAAGTGAAAAGTTTGGTAAATTCCAAACTAGCATCACCTCTGATTCCTGTGCCCAGAAACGTGGAATCCAATGAACAATTCAACTCTTTAGTGACGGAGAAACGCGAGAGTCTTGATAATAATCCGTTTGACAGCGTGTTATATGAAACCACTGAGTATATTAGAAAAAAGGATGATCCCTTTGAAATAGTGCTGCAGCGAGCTTTGAAGTCCAAAAGCAAAATAAACACAGAACTGAAAGCTCAGTCTGTGGATTTCATGGATGATTTTACCCCAAAGTGCAGGAGAAAGAATCAACAGATGATGGACAAGATATTGAATAAATCCTTGATCAAAGGCAGTGAGAGTTCAATTGATGAAGAGAAGAAGGAAAGAGAAACTAGCATTGTTGCTAATAATACAAATGTTGCTTGTGATAGTAATGCGGCAGAAAATAACAAGTTTATCTCTGAGCAAAATAACAAAATAATAGATGCAGACCCACATGAATTATCAATTTTAAATCAATCTGCAATGAATGATACATTGTTGGAAGCAAGCCCTAAACATAAAGTGGATAATGAAATATCAATCTTTTTAGAAAAAGATCCATCATTTAAAAAATTTGTTCTTCCCACAAGTTTGAATCTCAAACCACACTTGAATCTTCAACGCACGTTATCACAAGAAGGTAGAAAATCACCGAGAAAATTACAGTATCGAGATAGAAGATCACAATCTACAACAGATACACTGAAAAAAATTTCACAAAGTGATAGCACTATATTATTATCCTTAAATAAAGATTTGGAAAGTAAACAGAGCCAACAGCTTCTAATTTCTAATCCATCAGATATTTTTTCTATGACAAAATTGAATTCTGTCTCATTACTATCAAATCTATCATCGGTATCATCAAATGGCGTTATGAACACTGCTTTCATAAATAGCAACTGTTTAAGTAACGAGAGGATAAATACAGCTGAGAATTCTATGGAGATAAAATCAGTACAATATGACTTATCTGACTTAACAGAAAGACTTAATAAATTAAAATGTGCTATTGATAGAACAACTAGTACTCTGAGAATAAAGGAAGAGATTGACAAATTTAATTCCATGAAAGAAAAGGATAACAAACTGACTATAAATGATAAACTGATAGACATTGAGGTATTCATACCAGAAAGTAGTTGCAATGGAGAACACAATAAAAGTACAAGTTCCACTACCTCTTCAGATTCTGTATTCATTGTAAGATTTGTTTATTATACATTGCATATAATTTTTAAATTTGTATATAATTGCTAAAATTACATTGCATATAATTTTTAAATTTGTATATAATTGCTAAAATTGTTTTTAATTTGTATATAATTGTTAAAATTATTTGCAGGACAGTGGCAAAATAAATAAGTCAATACTGAATGAAGCTAAGGCACTTGCAAGAACTTTTGAAGAGTTATCTCTAAAAACAGATTCTGGATGTAAGTATTTCATATTTATTATGTGTAACTATTGTAAAAATTTATAATTTCAATAGTAATTTCAATACTATACTTCTTTCATTATATCTTTTTCATCAGCTAATACAGATGACTTAATTTCAAATAATATTCTGTGGGTATCAGAACTACTACCAGCATATGAAGATGAGATTGATAATTTAATCGAATTGCCTATCTCGCCAAAAGAAAACCTAAAAGTCGATAAAAGCAATGATTTGAAGCAATTTCCTGTAAATGTTAATAACGCGAAAGATGATCTTATGAAGGAAATAAAACCACAATTTACTGATAATGTTTCTGTAAGACAAACAATGGTAACCACATTATTATTAGATCTCAAGAAATTAGTAAAAACAGAAAATAACTCAGAAGTGAGTAAATTAATTGATAATCTAGAGAATGCATTGGGTGTAAAATATAAAGATAATCTAGAACTGTTAGCAAACTTGAATATGTCAGACAGATTACACAATTCTAAAATGTCTGATGATAAATTGGATGATATCGAGCAGTCGGATAAAGCAAATAACGACCAGAAAGAGAGTAAAAAAGTGTCATCTGAGGAAAAAATCTGTGATGACGAAAGTTCACCACCACACATAAGTAATGGATCAGAAAATGCATCACAAACTACAACCGTCAGCAGCGACAATTCATTAACCCAAACTTCATCTTGTAATAATAATAGCGAGAATCATCTTAATATTACAAAATCACCTCAAGCAGCACCAAAAGATAATCACTCGGACGAAAAACTAGCAATAGAATTGTTAGTTAATCTGGGGAAATTGTTGATCGGTCAGACTGAGGATGCCACGACTTTACAATTACTTAAAAGCATTGGAAAGACATTGAACGTCGCAACAAATAATTGTAAAATTAAAGAGGAGTCGCAGACTAACGATATTTCATGTAATACTCGACGAATTACCGCCGTGGGAACTGTAGAATCTGAACGTAATGAATCTGGGTTCAGTTCGAAAAAAGCTACATATGAACAAAGTTTTAACTCCAAAGTAAGTACATTTTTATTTTTCACGAAAAGTTTGATTCTACCTCGTATATATCTTCTATGCAGCCCCTAAAAAAAGCAATAAGAAGAAGCATATCCACGATTAATTCGTCAAGCGCAAACACGTCAAACACGTCAATGAATACAAAACGTAGAAGCATATCTGAATTAAAAGTTCAAAAACATCCCGCACTCATCAATATGATGGGAAATAAGAAGATTCTAATTTCAGGAGCCTCAAATACGAAAACCGGTATATTATCCTACTTACTAGATATGTACTGTAATTTAAATAATCGTTTTCTTCAAATAGAAATAAATTAAGGATATATGCACGTATATTCCAGTGAATACTGCAGAGCTCGATGCCAAGAACGAAAAATCATTAGCGATAATTGATGTTAAAAATAAGTTGAAAAAAAAATTAGGTGTAGTTAGTAGCAGAGGTCCTATAAAAGCGGTACATCCAGTAGGCACTATGCAAAAAAAAAGTAAGTATGCTAACAATGTTCGAGATAATTGATTGATGAGTTTAATTTACAATCATTAATGATTTAATTTATAATTTATAATTGCTAAGTAGTTAGTTGCTATATTGCTTATTGATAAGTTTCCAATTTATTTATCTTTGCTTATTTCAAATAACAACGTAGTGTCACTTGGGAAGCCAACTGCTCCATTTTCTGAAGTCACCACGCCACCCAAATCCCATACTGTTTCTTCTGGCAGTAAAATAATCAGTAGCACCCCTAATTCAATAGTTTCGACAACTCCAGGTGGCCAAAGCAATGGGTCATCGAAAATGCATTTAATGTCCACTAATAAAAAACGTAACTTTTCTTGCGACATTTCGCCGGTAATTACACAGAAAGGAGGAAGTCCTAAGAGGTAAGCGAGCAGACATCTTATATATTATACGATATATATGATGAAAGATACGATATGAGGTGAGATATATTCATTTTCATGTTAAAATAAACATATTTGGAACAACGACTAAAGAATTTTGAATGGCAATTTGTTGAAACCAAACAAGACAAAAGTATGCATATACGTAATGTATACTTATGTATATATACATAATAAATGCATAAAAACTATTCTTTCTATTTCAGATCTAGCAAGCCACCGACTATAAAAAAGGACACACCTAAACGTCAGCAAACGGATTTGTCTGGTATTCCAAAGTACTGCACGCCGCCGAGAAAACTCAACGCCTCACTTGATATAAGCAGTCATCAGCAGCAGCCTTCGCAATATTTGAACAAAAGTTTAACGGATTATCAACGATGTTTTCCTATTCGTCCGAAGAGCGCCGAAAAAAAACTGCGAAGTCCTCTCAAAGACAGTAACAAGATCTTTGCAAGAGTGAAACCATTTAAGTTGGTAAGTGTATTGTTTTTTTGTAAATCCACGAGCGAATTTCTTCGTTTTGTAAAACTGATTCGCTTTGTATTTACATTGCAGATCTCTAAACTTAAGGGAAACCCCACCAGCGATTTTGCCGATAAGGAGAATTACTTAGAGTAGAGGATATGAAACAATTGTGTGCTGTTGTATCTAATAATTCATAATATATATCTAATTAAGTAGGATAATATGCCTATTTTCGTATTAGAGACTCCTGAAATTAGAATGTTATTTATCATCGTATTGATAAATCCGGGATAATTTGAGAAATATTTTTGATCTTTTGATTCAGATATGCTTCTACGTTTTGTATTTACTGGCGTGTTTGACGTGTTTACGCTTGATGAATTAATCGTGGATATGTTTCTTATCTTTTTCGAGAGGGGCTACACAGAAGATGTAACGGCACACAATTGCAGAATATGTAACGGCAATCAATTGCTCTCAATAGAGGTAAAAATAGAACAGAAGAGAGAATGCATCATTTAGAAGTAATAGTGAAGAATATATATAATTTTATCTTTTTTTATTTGTGATATTTCTATGTTTTATAATGAAATGTGCGATTATATGTATTGTCAGATTATTAAGAAATCCTGTGTCACACTTCCAGTTTGCATTTCCGAAGAAATTTCTATAGAGTTAAGAAAAGATAAAAATTAAACTAAAAAATGAATTGTGTCCTAATTATCGAATAATGCAGGCTCAATAATTGAATGGTCATTAAATAATATTACTAATTGGCATAAAGAAATTTACTAATTGGCTTTTTCTCTCAATTTCATAAAGAATCTTCCTCTCAATTTCAAAACTTGTTAGAAATATCCCACTATGCAAATAGTAAACGTTACATATTAGATACATAACATATGTTTAATGTCCTCACTCAGAAACGTTTCTTCTACATAATAGCTCAGAAATGTAGTACAAATATTTCTGCTATATTTCTGAGTTATTATGTAGAAGAAACGTTTCTGAAGACATTAAACATATATATTATGTATCTGACATGTAACGTTTACCCCTTGCTTTAATCTTTAAACTGTAAGAAATTGACCAACCACAGTCAATTATTTTAAAAATAATCAACTATGGTTGGTCAATATTTTACGGCTTAAAGATTAAAGCAAGGTTGTGGACAAGGGGTTTCTATTTGCACAGTAGGATTATATATATGTGTGTGTGTGTGTGTGTATTAATGTTTCAAATATTGGGGATTGTTTAAATTATTAGGACATTTACCTAATATTTTCTAAAAAATACGAATTTGCAAGCCGCCGACTGCAAAAAAGGACACACCTAAATGTGAGTAAATGAATTTGTCTGGTAGTCCAAAGTAATACTGCACGCCGTCGAGAAAACTCAATGCCTCAACTTTATATGTGCAGTCATCATCAAAGCAGCTTTCGCAGTATTTGAACAAGTAGTTTAACGAGTTTATTCTCTTGTAATATAATAGGTGTGATTGAGGAGCTCCTTCCTTCCTTATTAGCGCTATTCAGCGCTACCATGTCATTCTATCCTTGTTGTTTATCTAAGGAGCGATAAAGATAGAAGATAGCATTGATAGCGTGCTCCCCGAATGCGCCCATTGTTTAAATTACAAGTAGAGAAAACGAACCCGCAAATGTTACAAAAAAATGGCAGTTACGTTAAAATAACCCCTTTCTTATTTTGAAAGACCTCAAGGGTCTTGGTCTCGTAAACTAACCTAGGTTAGGAATAGTTTCATTTCTCCACCCGTAACGCCTGGTTACATGGGTTTATTGTAATTGTATAAATAGAAACGAAACTGTGATAAAATGCTAGCGAGAAAAGATCATCACATGCGTACTCTAGTAATCATATGATGTACTAAATTTATACATAATATATGAATATGGGTGCGTTCGCTTTGAACGCTTACGTGCTTTAAGCGCTTATAAATATCGCTCACGTCGTTTACTTTGGCGCTATAAGCGCTTAGAAACTGCATATTGACGTCATGCGTGACGTCATAACTCGCGCTTACATTCGCTTCTTCTATCGAGGTGGGGCAGTAAAAGCGTGAGTACTTATAAGCGCTTATTTTCCAAAGAGAACGATGAAATCGACGCAATCTAACCTCCAATATAAACCTTAAAGTGAAATAGTGTTTCAAAATGACTTCCAACGAGAGTAACAAAACCAGAGTAACTCTGCAAGATGTTACAAATAATAAAATGTATACACTTGTTACATCAAAAGAGGCAAAACGTGTAGAAACAGGTAAGTTTAGGACACCTCTCATAAAAATTTATTATTTTTGTTATTAAATCATATTTATTTTGAGTAATAAAGCACTGTCCAACAGTAATTTAAAAAAAAAAAAAAGTAATATTTCAGCAACACTAGTAATACATTTGATGAAGGAAACGGACTTTCTCACAAATTTACCTAACAAATTTACCTTCATATTTTGTTGTATAAAACATAAATATGAAAGTTAAAATCGTTGATCTTAAATAAAATAAAAGTTATAAAGTGAAAAGTTATTAAAATGTGACTTAAATACTTCATCATTGTATAATGGTACAACCACTTCCACATAGTTTTTTAACCGAGTGTTTTAGTTGTTTTTTTATTGATCCAATCATTACGGATAAATTACTTTTCTAATTCTTTTTTATATAAGTTATTTGTTTTGTTATCATCAAAAACATCTAATGAAACTAATATTTGAGCAAATACACAAACAATTTCCTTATCTTTATTCTTCATTTTTACGTTCATAATTGCTTACAACAGCCAAAGGAAACGGTTTTGATCTTTTCGATGATTGCACTTAAAAATCAAAGTAACCGGGCAAAAATAGCGCTCATAAGCGTGAGCGCTTTAAGTATGTGAGCGTCCAAAACGAACGCACCCTATGTTGTATATTTTTTTTGCAATCGTCTATATATTTTGTCCATTATCTAACGAAACTAATTGCACATTTTTTGCTATGGAAAACAACTTATGCAGGATTCACACCGCGTCCGATGTCCGACGTACGACGTCCGATATCCAATAGGAAAACAACTTTCTAATATAGAATTCAATTCTCCATTGAAAAGCTATTTTTTTATTGGATATCGGACGTCGTACGTCGGACATCGGACGCGGTGTGAATCCTGCATTAGGCTGATATTTCACGTGTCGTACAACAAGCTTTTCGGAAACGTTTATTGATTGGCGAATAGAGTATTTCTAGGTTCTCTGTTTGTCAACCAATGAACGTATCCAAAAAGCTTGTCGTACGACACGTGAAATATCAGCTTAATGCAGGATTTACACCGCGTCCGACGTCCGACGTACGACGTCGATATCCAATAAAAGGATAGCTTTCCAATAGAGAATTGAATTTTATATTATAAAGTTGTTTTCCTATTGGATATAGGACGTCGTACGTCGAACATCGAACGCGGTGTGAATCCTGCATAAGTTGTTTTCCACAGCAAAAAATGTGCAATTAGTTTCGTTAGATAATGGACAAAATATATAGACGATTGCAAAAAAATATACAATATATTCATATATTATGTATAAATTTAGTACATCATATGATTACTAGGGTATGCATGTGATGATCTTTTCTCGCTAGCATTTTATCGCAGTTTCGTTTCGTACGACACGTGAAATAGCACCCTTAGACTGTGTTCCGATATTCACTGCTAGTACTGAAAATGTATAGTTTATGTCACGTACACTGTAGATTTTCAGTATTGGCAGTGAATTTCGGAACGCAGCCTTATAGCGTGTTATGGCTCCTGCACACAGGACGCGGTAATGCTTGCCGCGCGGCAGAAGTCTGCGCGACAGCCAATCAATAAGTTGTTTTTCCGTAAGAGCTAGAAGGTTATTATGGAAAGCAGCATATTGATTGGAGGACTTCCGCCGTGCTGCAAGCATTACCGCGTTCTGTGTGCAGGAGCCATTAATCAATACTTTTTGGTTGCGTTCCTTTTGGGCGCTCACGCGCTTTAAGAGCTTATAAGCGTCACTCTGAGTGCTTTTCAATTGCTTAAAGCCCGTATCAGACTACGGATTAAGATTGAGATTAAATTAAAAATTGGCCAATCAGAGCAAAATTCATCAAACCTGAGCTTAATAAATTGGGAGCGGTGCACTTGGACACGGTGCATTTGGACACAGCCAATCACAGCACCGTGTGATTAGAGACATTTGTAGGGTCCCTTGGAATAGCGACTTGTGATTGGACTGTGTCCAATTGCCCCGTGTCCAACTGATATACACCCTAATAAATTTTGCTCTGATTGGCTAAATTTCAATTCAATCTTAATCCTAATCTATAGTCTGATACGGGCTTAAAGACCTAATAATTCACTAGATAATTCTTTGCATCGATTGATTGTGTCTAATCGGGAATTCTTTATGTCCATGGCTCCATCCATGATTTGCAGAGTCAGACCCTGAGCACAGACTTTTGCATAACGCATAATGCATAACACAAAAGGAAATCAATCAATCAGAGTCAAATTCATTTCTATCCTGGAGAGGGAAATAAAGGTCTCTGATTGGTTGATTCCTTTATGCATTATGCAAAAGTCTATGCTCCCAGCCGTAAGCAACGGACTCTATAGGTAATCAATGTGGTAAGCGGACATAATCCATAAAAAAGAGGGGATAGCGTTGGCAACGTTCAAAAGTTCCTAGGATCCATAAATTCATTTCTCAAGGTTAATATCATTGTTAGACGGGAAAATGCACAACAGAGGTGTAGAATTGTGACAGATTAATGTCACGATGTCAAAAGTAAACATAGCAGGAGTGAATGACAAGTTATGGAGACAGAGGTTAATA